TTAACTATAATGAGGGTCAGAAAATAAGCTTGTTGGAACTTAATTCTGGGATACAATTCAAGACCAAAGCTGCCAGGACTTTTAACCCCTGGATGACCATACTGTGCAGAACCCAGAGCCCTGGACGAGAGCGGATCCTGACTGGCCATCGAGAGATGTCTGTCTGTCTTTGTTGGGAGTGGTGAGTATTAGATGCTTGGCATGTATTTTCCATTGATTTGTTGCTAATTGCCAATAAGTACATGTACATGTTTAAGGATATTCACCACGTGAAGGTTCTTTCACTGGGAAAAGACCCTGCAGACCCACAGAGCCCTGAGCCTACAGAAGGATAAGTTGGGTCCCTTGTCCCTGAGTACTCACGAGGAGAGGTAGGAGACGGGAGCCTTAAATTGTGTGGGTAGTAGTAGGGCATTATGTGGAGAGGAATGGCGTGGAAGAAAGATACTGAGAAGATTATGGGATATGTTAGTTAACAGGGAATTAAGGATAACATCACTACTGTAGGAAGGGATGGGGAAAGATGCAATAAGACAAGACTTCAGATGCAATCCAATCTAGAGATATGTAAGGCCTTGAAGGCTAGGACAAAAAATGTAAACTAAATGCCATGGAGGAGGGGAAGTAAGTATAGAAATTTGAAGAGGAAGGAAACATAGTGAGCTTAATGGTAGAAAGAGAATTTTATGGGCCACAGTCTGTATGGAATGGAGAGTTGCAATGCAAGTATTACAAAAGCCAGAGGAGGATGTTGTGGTAGTCAAGATGTGATAAGGACAGATATGACCACGATTTTTAGCTGGAACAGAAAGGAAGGGTTGCATCTTCAATATGCTGTCAAGTAAGTGAAAGATTTGGACACAGCCTTAGATGTGTCAGGAGCAGATAGAGGAGTCAAAGCCTTGCAATTTCGAAGCGTGGATGGTGATTGTCAGCAATGACATTGAATAAGGGGAGCAAAGAGTTTTGGAGGAAAAAGTCAAGAGGACAGTTTTCACCATGCTAAATTTAAGCTGATGGAAAGATATCCAAGCAGGTGATGTCAGCTAGGCTGAGGAGCAGGATTGGAGGAACGGAGACCGGTCAGAAGTGAAGAGGTAGATTTGTAAGTCTGGTGTAAGTAGCAGTTGAAGCCATGCGACCAGATAGATTATCCTGAGAGAAAGCGCAAAGGGAAAAGAAGAGGACCTAATATTCAACACTACAGGATCACCACCCACCAGAAAATACACTGAAGGAATGATCAGAGAAATAAGAAGATGACAGAGTTGTGAAGGGAAGACAAAATTCTAAGGAGGGTATAATTGACAATATCAAAAAAAAAATCAGGAGGAAGGTCAAGGATAAGCAAATATGGACCCTGCGATTTAGCCAGGTAGAGTTTATTAGAAAGTTTTGGTAAGAGCAGTTTCAGTAGAGTGAAGGGGTTGGACGCCAGATTGGAGGGGGATCCAGGAAGTAGCATGTTTGATTTAGAACTGAAGAGAACAGGAAAGATAGGGATAGGTGGGAGAGGCAGGTGATTTCAAGAGTGTTTCGAGGAGTCCCTGAGGACAGGAAAAACTGGACAAATATTCTATACAGGCTTGAGGAGACATAAAACGCACACCTACCTGAGCCTGAACCAACCCAAAATTTCTCCAGATGGAGCTAAGAAAACCTAGCCTGGCTTGACCCTATTTATCTTTGCAGATTAGGTGAGATCAGGCCTGTTCACAGAAGTTATCCACACAGAAGACTTAGATAGTGAGGTTCGTGAACTGTAGCTTTAAACATATTTCCCTCACAAATGTAGATCTAATTTATAATGCTTTCCTTTGGCCATAGAAATCTTGGCATATGGGGATTCCCAACAATTTAATCTGGACTATTTTAAATTGAAGCAGAATCAAATTATTCGGTATTTATAAGAACATAAGAATGGCTGTATTTTGTCAGACCAATAGTCAATCTAGCCCAGTAGCCTGACTCTGACAGTGGCCAATGCCAGAAGCTTCAGCAGGAATGAACAGAATGAGGCAATTATGAAAGATCTATGCTATAGACCAGTCCCAGATTTTGGCATTTGGAAGTTTAGGGACACTCAGAGCATGGAGTTGAATCCCTGATCATCTTGACTGTTCTATACCCGTGATCATTTTTGTTGCCCTTCTCTAATTCTAATTATCTTTTTTTGAGATGGGGCAAACAGAACTACCTGCAGTATTCAAGGTGTGGGCATAACAGGGATTTGTAGAGTGGCATTATATCTATCCCCTTCCTAATGGTTCCTAACATTGTTAGCTTTTTTGATGGCTGCTGCACATTAAGCAGCTGTTTTTGGAGAACTATCCATGACAACTCCAAGATCTCTCTTATTTTTTCTAATGTGCATTTGCCAGTTTGTTGTCCAGTTACCCATTTTTATGAGATTCCTTTGTAACTCTTACCAGTCAGCTTTGGACTTAACTATCTTGAGTAATTTTGTATTGTCTGAAAATTTTAATATCTCACTGTTTACTTCCTTTTATGTTTCATCTATGAAATGTTGAACAACACAGGTTCCAGTACAACTCACTGCTGAATTCTACTATTTACCTCTTCATTGTAAAAACCGACCATTTATTCCTACCCTTTGTCTCCTGTCTTTTAACTAGTTCCTGATCCACGAGAAGACCTTCCCTCTTATCCCATGACTACCTACTTTGCTTAAGAGCCTTTGATGAGGTATCTTGTCACAGGCTTTCTGAAAGTTCAAGTTCACCATATCCACTGGATCACCTTTGCCACGCTTGTTGACACGCTCAAAGAATTCTAATAGACAGGTGAGACATAATTTCCCATTACAAACACTGTGTTGACTCTTCCCCCAACATATCATATTCATCTTTGTGTCTAATAATGCCGTTCTTTACTTGTTTCAACCAGTTTACCTGGTACCGAATTTAGGCTTACAGGCCTGTAATTACCAGAATCACCTCTAGAACCTTTTTCAAAAACCAGCATTATATTAGCTACTCTCAATCATCTGGTACAGAGGCTGATTTAGGCAATAGGTTACAGACCACAGTTAATAGTTCTGCAATTTCATAGTTGTGTTCCTTCAGAACTCCTGGGTGAATACCAGTGTTCCCTCTAATTTTTCCTACCTATATTTGGCATGAAGTTTGTTATGTGCACCATATGGAGGGGATGTGTGACACATAACAAAATTAATGTGGTGGGGGTGGGGCCAAGGGGTTCAGAGTGTGGGAGGGGTCTCAGGCCTGGGACAGAGGGTTGAGGTGCAGGGGTATGAATACTCCGGCTAGGGGTGCGGGCTCTGGGGTGGGGCAGAGGGTTGGGTGCAGGGGATGAGGGTTGCATCTGGAGGTGCGGGCTCTGGGGTGGGGCTGGGGATGAGGAGTTTGGGGTGCAGGAGGATGCTCCGGGGCTACAGCGGGGAGAGAGGACTCCCCCCAGCCCTCTCTCCCCACAGCAGCACCTGGGCTGGCGGGGGAGAGGCGCCTCTCTGCAGCGGCAGCTCCGGACCTGGGGCCACAGGATAGGTGCTCCTCTGCCAGCCCCTGCAGTTCTGGCCAGAACTAGGTTCAGTGGCTCCCCGGCTGCAACAGGTCCAGGGCTGGGTTCGGGGAGGGGTGCCCACGACCGGTCCAGGCCAGGCCTATCCCAGTGGCAGCTGGGGCTGGGCTGCCCGGGTTCACGCTGCACTGCCCCGGCCACAGCTGGGTCCGGACCAGGAAGTGCTCCCCCAGCTGGGGTAGGGGCACCCGAGCTGTGGCAGGTCTGGGCTGCAGCATAGTTGGGGCAGGGGGGGCATCCCAGCCGTGGCAGTGTGGGGGAAGGGCACCCCTCCCCCAGGAGCGGTGGATTCCCTGAGCGCCTGCGCAGCACTAAATAGGCTGCTGCATGGCCATGCAGCTTACAGGGAACATAGGTAAATACCATCTGGGCCTGATGACTTATTACTGTTTTATCAATTTGTTCCAAAATCTTCTGAGGAACTGCCTCAGATTGAAGTGACAGTAGAGATTTGTTACCTAAAAAGAAGTCTGACGAGTAACAATTAGCCCCAAATACTCTAGAGCAGTGGTTCTCAAGCTTTAGCAACCCAAGGACCCCCCTTTTGATTCAACATTTTTCAGGGACCCCCAGTTCCTCCGCTCAGACTTGCCCTGCCCCACCCCTTCTCCAAGGCCCTGCCCCCTGCTCACTCCATGTGTTGCTCACTCTTCTCCACCATCACTAACTTTCACTAGGCTGGAGCAGGGGTTAGGGTACGGGCTCTGGGGGGAGAGTTTGGGTGCAGGAGGGGATGTGGGGTCCAGGAGGCAGTTTTGCCACAGGAGAGGGTGTGGGGTACAGGCTCGGGGTGGGGGGGGTGGAGTTTGGATGCGTGAGGGGGTGAGGTGCTTAGCAGGGTCAGCTCCCGAAAGTGAACAGCCTATCCATCTGACAGCAGCTCCTGGGTGGGGAAGCCAGGGGATCTCTGCCTGCTGCTCCTGCCTGCAGGCACCACCCCCGCAGCACCCTTTGGCCGCAGTCCTGGCCAATAGGAACTGCAGAGGCAGTGCACTGAGACTGCCTGCCCCTCCCTGCCCCCCAGACACATGCTGGCTGCTTCCGGGAGTGGTGAGGAGCCAGGGCAGATAGGAAGCCTGTTCCCCAGCATGCTGAGAGGGAGGGGGAGGAGTTTCTCAGCATGGCCCTTGGACCCCCTGGTGTACTCTCAGGGACCCAGTTTGAGAAACACTGCTCTAGCATAAAGACAGATGCAAAGAATGCATTTAGCTTCTCTGCAACAGTCTTGTCCTGCTTGAGTACTCCTTGAGCACCTGGATTGCCCAGTAGCCCTGCTGACTGACAAGCTGCCTACCTCCGATGTATTTAAATTAGTTTGCTGATTGTTTGTGTCTTTAGCTAGTTGCTTTTCAAATTCTTTCTTATTATACTTTTAACCTTGTCAGCATTTATGCTGCTCTCCGTTTTCCCAGTAGGATTTAATTCCAATTACTAAAAGATGGAGAACACACAAATCTTTTTATTCAGATAAAGCTAACAGTGATTTATTTGAACACAACGTAGACTTCAATTCTGTATCAACAGCTAGAGTGCAAACTTGCTTTGTATTTCAGATTCCAGAGTAGTTTTTCATTTCTTGTCATCTGACCAAGTGATTTTATAGTCTTGGTATACTTTTTTCAGTATTTCTACGGTCACTGCATGATCTGCTTTACCATATCCCTGCAAAAAAGATAAAAGATTTTGAAGGGATGCAAAATATAAGGCTACAGGAGTATCAAGTCCCAGTTAACAATTTAAATATCCAGACTTATGGCCTTATGCTTCCCCCTGCACAGAAGTCCCACTGAGGTGAACCAAGTTCTGTTTATTACCTCTCAAGAATATCTGAATTAAAATGTTTCCGAGTTAGAAGCCAGGAAAATCAGAGTTAAAGTTGCCCTTAACAAGGCATTGATTCTCACTTAGGTAACTACAAGAGCCTTAACTCTGCTCCAAGAGGACCACACAAGTAAATTGACATTTAAACTACATGTTACACAACTAATACAAAAAGTCATTTTCTACACACAAGGTCTGCCCACATAAACAAGCATGGCTATATCAGACATAAGTAGTCTTGGAAGAATTAGCTTTTTAATTGGTAAACATGGATTTCACCATATACACAAAAAATATTTTCATTGATAATAATCAAAAGGTACAAATAGGCAAAGAAAGCAACATGCTGCCTGAAAACTTAGTTTGATTTAAGGATATTTACTTTGTATATTTTGACATGTGATGTTGACAATTTGTGTTTTAGTGGTTAGAAAGCTTGAACTTTTTGCATCTCAACGTGTACTGCTATTAAATTATTGTCTAAGCCAACCTATCACCCCCACTAATGTAGGAAATTAGTAGCTGAGCTCCAGTGCTGGCTCAGACATTGCTTTAAGTCTCAAGGAGCTCAATCTATTTAATCCCAGCCACAGAGTTCACTTCAAAGAACTCCTCAAGCATTCCTCTAATTCTCATAGTTTACCCAAGAGCTAAGTATCAATAGCCCCATTTAACCTATGTCCCTATTTTTAAAGTCACACAACAAAAAACCAGGACAAGAGCCAAGTTGCTTTGATTTACAGGCCAAGATGTAACCTGCTATTCCAGAGTGCCATTCAGCTTTTCTGTATCTCCGTTTTTCTGTCTGACAAAGTGAAACTTTGCAGTTACACAGTACACCTCTAAAGTTCTGGGCACTTGACAATGGTGGACAAACAAAGTGTGGGGTATAGTTAACTGCCCCTTCTTCCACTATCTTGGTGGCAGAAGGGAGAGATGCTGCTGCCTGTGCTGCACACCACCACCATTAATCTAGGAGTTTGGTCATGAATTGTTTGATTCTGCCACAAATATTGAGCAGGCTCTAGAAGACCCCTAATGTTGCATGCCATCTCCCCTCCCCATAGAGCTTTGCCCCCACAATATGATATCTGAGAAAGAGCCCTAATTAAAAAAAAAAAAGTTTAAGCTGGTTTGGGGCTATAACTGACCCGGAGGAAAAGTGACCTTGAAGAACTGCTACTTTCTATACAGGATTGAGACAACATGTCTTTACATCACATGGAACTAGTCTGCTCTGTTCCACATTAGTAACTCAAGAAATCCTTGTTTCTTATCATTTACTCTCTGCAGTGGTGAGATGGGATGGAAACTGCGATGTGTTCCACATATATGGATAATTCATTGCTTCTGTTGGTCATTTTATAAACAAACTGTATTTACAGACTGAGCCATGTAAGTAAGAGATACATAGACAGAGGCATGCTCTATACCTACAGTACAGGATTGTGAGTCAGGAGCTGCTGAGTTCCAGTTACAGCCCTGACACCAATTACTGTGTGACTGTGAGTAAATCAATCTAACCTCTCTGCTGTAGCTTCCCCATCTAAAATAGGCCATCTTTACCCACCTCAGAGGGGAGCTGTGTGGACTAACTAATTAATGCTTATAAGTGATCCATCAGAGTGCTGAGAATTATTACTAGTATTTTTAAATAGAGCCCTAAAATGTTGGTTTTTAAAGGAAACTAATACATGGCACTTACTGTGGAAAGACCAAATACCCGCATTTTCTTGTCTTTGCTATTATGGTCAATTTTTCCTCCTCCAAGGCACTTGCATTCAAAGCCCAACTTTTCCATTTCAGGGTTTACTTTTTCAAATATATGATCTGCAAAATGAAGCCAGTTCAATCCATTAACCAGAACTGAGGTTTCACTTGGGGATTACTTTCAATCCTCTCTTTTCAGCTACCTAGTATTTTTTTCCGGTTTCCTTCGGGAAGCTGGTAAGTGAAGGGAAAGACCCGTTGTTACTTACACAGCTGGGCCCTAGCAAACCCCAGAACAGTGGCTGCCGGGTCCACCGTCTCACCAAGTCAGAGGCTGCTCAGAAGTGCAAGTTTCTGAGTGAAACGTACCAGGGCCGGACACCAGCGCAAGTCGCTCCTCACCAGGCGCGGCGCAGCCACAGGAGCGATGATGCAGGCGCAGCCCCGCAGCGGGGCCGGGGCCGGGGCCGAGGCCTAGGAGCAACCCCGACAGAGACGCTCTATGGGGGGGTGTCTGGGGGGGGGTTAAGAGCAGCGCCCCGCTCAGCGGGGAGAGCGCTGTCCGCACAGCAGCAGCGGCTCCGCGGGAGCCGGGCCACCCCGGAGGTGCCGCAGCAGCAGCAGCAGGGGAGGAGCGGCCCATGGCGGGGCAGCCGGCTCCCCCCACAAGAAAGCGGTTCGGAGGGGGCGATCGGCCCGGGGGGCGCATGAGGCGTCAGCCGGGCTCCGCCCCCAGCTCCCCCGCCCGGCCTTGGCTCCTAGCACCGACTCACTGTGGAACTCGGCGGCCGCGGTGCCCCGGACGACGTCCCGGTGCTCGGCTCCCCCCGCGCGCTGCACCCGCACCAGGATGTATTTGAACGTGCCGTCCGGATCGATCTCCACTGCGGGCACCGACTCTAGCTGCCCGGCCATGGCCACCCCTCGGGGCTGAGAGCGGGCCAGCCGCCGCTGCTCCGCGCATGCGCCGAGCGCCCGAAGCAGTGGGCCGCAGAGAGTGGGGCTAAGGCCGGGGTTACTGGCTCGTGCCACTGGGGGCGGGGTTAGGACGGCGGTTGCTGGCTCAAGCCGTTAGAGCGTGGGGTATAACTGTCACAGGTTCCCTCCCCCCATTGAATGACTGGGAGCTAAAGCCTCCCCAAGGCTCCTTCCGCAGCCACCTGCTGTGCCCAGGTGCCCAGCTGTGGCCAACTTCAGGGGCCAAATCCCCAATATCATGAGCCAGGCCTTAATGTTGGGAGAGTTTAAAAAATCCAGCCCCGCTGTCTTCCGAGGGTCAAAAGTCATGAGTCAGGCCACCAACAACCCTGAGGGGCTAAGGGTAGAGCCCTGTGTGGGGCTGTTTTTTGCATTTGTATCCCGCTTCCACTGCAAAACCCTTAAACCCTGCAAATCCTGCAAGAGAGACAGAATCCCACATGCTACTAAAAAACAGTTGGTTAATATATATATAAACAGAATTCAGACATAATTTTTACCGCTAAAAGAATAAAACAAATCTTGCTTAAACGATGTAAAAATACTTTAACTTCCGTTATAATAGACATCAAATCCCTTGCTTACATTTAAGTATTAAAACCTTTATTTAAAAAAAGACAAGCTTGCTTTACATTGCTGAAATTCTATTTATGACAAAGTGCTGACGTGTATATCATATGGAGCGTCCAAACAAATTGCACCACAATTTTGCCTTAAATTGTGCAGATTTTTTGTAATGATTATAAAAAGTAAGTTCTTTTAAAAAACTGGATTTATTTTTAAACTGCTTAAGCACCATTTTTGAAACTTTGAAACACCATTATTTAGATGTCAGGATTATTACTGCTTTTAAAAAAAACATTTAACAGAAAAACTGCTCACAGCATTGACAGCATGCTGATACAACAGTGACAATCTGTGCATATGTGATGTCACAGAACAACAAAACCAGTGAGTGTGATTCTCTGACCTGACTTGAGCCGGTGTACTACACCTGATTCAGAGCAAGGGAGCTAAGCATATATAGGAAAGAGAGTTGGTATGGCAACCCCCATTTTTTCATGTTCTCTGTATATATATATGGTTTCAGAGTAGCAGCCGTGTTAGTCTGTAGTCGCAAAAAGAAGAGTGCTTATGGCACCTTAGAGATGAAAAATTTATTTGAGCATAAGCTTTCGTGAGCTACAGCTCACTTCATCGGAGTGAAGCTCACGAAAGCTTATGCTCAAATAAATTGGTTCGTCTCTAAGGTGCCACAAGTACTCCTTTTCTTTCTGTATATATATATCTTCCTACTGTAGTTTCCGCTGCATGCATTTGATGAAGTGGGTTTAGCCAACGTAAGCTTATGCCCAGATAAATTTGTTAGTCTCTAAGGTGCCACAAGTACTCCTTGTTCTTTTTGCTGATATAGACTAACACAGCTACCACTCTGAAACCTGAAACAGAATAATTAGCAATTTTCCAAATAGGCTACTCTTGGTAAACTGACAAGAGATTTAGTCCCACAAATTACCGCAGTCTGTTTTCTTTTGCCCACCCAGTCCTGCCTGCAACAAAGTACATTTTATCCACTGCCTTTGTTATGGCAGCAAGACCCACGGGATCCCAGTCCCACTGCAGGGCTTTAGCTGAGGGTTCCCCCCTACCCCGTATGCAGGTGGCAGATGGTGCTGCCCACGCTCCCACTTCACTGAGAAGATTTTGGTCCCTGCCGCCATGAGGGTTGCAACATTCTACTTGCACAAAACCAAACACCCTTGCCCTGCCCCCTGCCCTGTACCTCTTCCGAGGCTCTGCCTCCAGTGGTGAGCTGGAGCCGATTCGCACCGGTTCACTAGAACCAGTTGTAAAATGTCCATGAGGGACAACCGGTTCTAAAAGGGCTTCTAAATTTAACCGGCCAAAAGTGGCGCCATAGGTGCCAACTCCATGGATGCTCCAGCCCTGGAGCACCCAAGGGGAAAATTTGGTGGGTGCAGAGCACCCACCGGCAGCTCCCCGCCCCAGCCCTAGCTCACCTCCGCTCCGCCTCAACCTCCTCCCCTGAATGCGCCGCCCCGCTCTGCTTCTCTGCCCCCGCAGGCTTCCCGCAAATCAGCTGTTCGTGCGGGAAGCTGGGGCGGGCTGAGAAGCAAGCGGCAACTTTGCACTCAGACCCAGGGAGGCGGAGGTGAGCTGGGGAAGGGGGGCATGAGGGCGCAAGGAGGGCCGCCCATGCCGCAGCAGGTAACCCCGGGGGTGGGGGGGTGCAAGGGAACCGCTCCCCCGCCCCAGCTCATCTCCGCCACCCTCGGCCTGAGTGTGAAGCCGCAGCCTGCTTCTCAGCCCTCCCAGGCTTCCCGCTGAACAGCTGTTTCACGGGAAGCCGGGGTGGGGGTGGGAGGCGCGGAGAAGCAGAGCGGGGCGGTGCATTCAGGGGAGGAGGTGAGCTGAGGCCAGGGCCAGGTGCGGGGCGGGGAGCTGCCGGTGGGTGCTCTGCATCCACCAAATTTTCCCCGTGGGTGTTCCAGTCCCAGAGCACCCACGGAGTCAGCCTAAGACACCACTTTTGATGTGATCAGTGGGGGGAGCGGCCGCTTCCCCTGCTCTCCCCCAGCTATGCTACCCTGCCCCTAGGAGCCAGAGGGACCTGCCGGATGCTCCCTGGGAGCTGCCCCAGGTAAGCACTGCTGGGACTCCCCACCTTGCTCCCCGGCAGGTCCCTCTGGCTCTTAGGGGTGGGGTGGGCACCCACTACGATGGCCCACGAGACCCTCCTGCCTGGTTCTGGGGGCAGTCAGAAGACAGGGGAGGGGGATGGATGGGGCAGCGATTCCAGGGGGCGGGGGTGGGCAACGACCCTCTTGTGGGGTGAGGAGGGAACCGGTTGTTAAAATTTTGGCAGCTCATCACTGTCTGCCCCTGCTCTGCCCCTTCTCCTAGGCCCCGCCGCTGCTCACTACATCCCCCCTCCCTCTGTCACTCACTCCCCCCCTCTCACTCATTCGCTCATTTTCACTGGGCTAGCTCAGTGGGTTGGGGTTCGGGAGGGGATGAGGGCTCCATCTGTGGGTGTGTGCTCTGGGGTGGGGCCAGAAATGAGGAGTTCGGGGTGTGGGAGGGGGCTCTGGGCTGGGGCAGAGGGTTCGGATGCAAGAGCGGGTGAGGGCTCCGGCTGGGAGTGCAGGCTCTGGGATGGGGCTGGGGATGCGGGGTGTTGGGTGCAGGAGGGTGCTTTGGGCTGCCCCGTCTGCAGGTATTGCCCCTGCAGTTCCCATTGGCCGTGGTTCCTGGCCAATGAGAACTGCGTAGCCAGCGCTTGGGGCAGGGGCAGCGTGTGGAGCCCCCTGGCTGCCCCTATGTGTAGGAGCCAGAGAGGGGACATGCTGCTGCTTCCGGGAGCCACGTGGAGCCATAGCAGGCAGAGAGCCTGCCTTAGCACTGCTGCGCCACTGACTGAACTTTTAACGGCTTGGTCAGTGGTGCTGACAGGAGCTGACAGGGTCCCTTTTCGACCAGACGTTCCGGTTGAAAACCGAACACCTGGCAACTCTAGCTGCCGTTGCGCTGCCCATCACTTCTGTCCCTCCCACAGCTCCAGCAGCTTTTCACCCAGTCTGTTGCTGAGATGAGGAGCGGCAGAGCTGCCCTGAGCTGCTGCAACCATTTGTGCCCCTTCCACTCCTGTGAGAACAATGTGGGGTCCTGCGGGATGCAGGCAGAGCTCTCCCCACCTCTGCCGCCCCTCTGATTGGCTGCAGTTGCCTTGGAAGAGGAGCAGTGGGGAAAGCAGTCAATTGGGTAGGGGGGTTCCAAGGCAAAGCTGGAGCGTCTCCCAGATGGGGGCAGGCTTGCCAGTGCTCACATGACTCGTGAAGATCTGTGGAAAGCTGAATGTGCAATATGGCCGCTGGTGAACGTATCACAAATCACAAAATGTTTTCCTGCGCTGCTGCCAAAACCCTGGCCATGCCAGGGGAGTGTCTGCGGGACTAAAAAACACAATATAACCTTTTTTAAAAAAAACAAAAGCTTTATGATTTTGGGGCCAATCTCATAATTTTGGGGAGTCCAATTCATGATTTTTGATGTCTTGAGATTGGCAATACTGAAATAATAATTATTTGCCTCTGAGTTAGGAGTCACTTTTCCTAGCTGTTCTCTGTAACCACCAGAGCTAGAAATTTAAAAAAACATTAAAACTAAGATTCTCTGTTGATCCCTTGATTCCAGGATGTGGGTCTTTAAGAAATGCACCATATGTCACAAGACATGCGATCAAATTGTGAAAGTTCACAATACTTTGAATCTGAAAAAATGGAATAAACGTATTGAAGTTGCTTCTGTTTCATGGGTTTTACATGGATCAATTTGGAGGTATTTTAAAATGTTTTTGTCAATTTTTAAAAGTATATTTATGTTCTCTTTTTTTTCATTCCTTTTCTTTTTCCTATCTTCGTTTTTTCTAGTAATTTTTGAAGAAGAATTTTTTTTTTCTTGGAAAATGACTCGGAAAAAAATGTAGAAAAAGGAAAGGAAAAATGAAACATATCAAAATATTTATAACAAACTTAAAACAATGTTTAAAAATATTTTATTTTATTTTTCAACTAAAATACTTTTTGTTAAAAAGGAAATGTGATCAGCTCTAATAGGGAAACCCAGAGGTGACCTGAAAATGTTTGTTAAATGGGTGGGTTTGGGTTTCCCCTCTGTTTACGACAGTTTTAAGTTTTGTAAAGTTTTTTCCTTGTTTTTTTTTAA